AAAATAGAAAATAAAAAATGAAAACACTAATAGAAGACATCTTCTAATTAAAGCAAATATACATATAGGGTTAATTTTAAAGGAAAATAGGAAGTGCTACTGGCCGGGTACTTAGAATCTGAAAAGTCAAAAGTCCAAAGTCGGGAATACAAGTCGGTAGTCGCTGGGAATTCCGTAAAATTGAAGGGTCGGGTCGGGTGGCATCTTAATTCTCGGCTCTCTCGCATCTGATCCGAAAGGATTTAGCGATCGTAGGGTCGTCTTCCCCTTTCAGATCTGGAATTCGACGGCTTAAGTCGACATAGGCGCTGCGCCTGGACGCCAAGTCGTCGGAAAAGCGACGCCTAGGCGAGGACTTGAAAGTAAGGCGAGTCGAATCATCAAGGCGAGATCAAGAGGGCGCCGCGACGCCTAGGCGACGACTAGGCGACGCCGTGATAACTATGACTAGAACAGTAAGTTCATATTATCAACCCAGGTGAAGATACTGTTATCATTTATCATATGATTCCAGTAGATGCTGATGTTTTCTCCTGTTAGGTACCCCCAGATGGATGCCATTCAAAAGTATCTTTGGCCACGCCTTTGCACATTGGATAACAATATATTGTAACAATCATTCCTCCTTGATAAAAATATCTTATAACAGACATGCATCTCTACAACGAAGCTTAATTTTCAGTGGTTTAAATATTATTTGCAGGTATGTATTGCATTACCAATTAATCACCTTCGGAAAGGTCAGTCACAGTCCAACGCAAAGCTTCTTATAGGCTAATTTAAATTTGCTTAGTTTCATTGCTCTTCTTTATATCACTGCCAGTCAACTACTATTATCTGTACGAAGAAGAATCCAAACTGTAATGCGTGCCCATTGAGAGCAGAGTGCAGACACTTTGCAAGCGCATTTGCTAGGTTTGCTTAAACCTAGCCTTTTAACTTTAAAATAGAATCTTACATTTGTTGCAAAAAAAATAAAGATCTAAATGTGAAAATCAGTGTGAGCTTTAGTAACAGCCTCTCTACTTTCGAGTCGGGGCAAGGTCTGCGTACACACGCCCTTCCCGGACCCTACACTCGTGGGATCCAACTGGATTGTTGTTGTTTTTATTTGTTTTTGTTTTCCCTCGTTTTGTTATCAACCTATGAAAACATAAAAACATGTTTGGTAGGCATGTTTTGTATATATAGTTTATGACTTTATGGTGCATTTCTTATAAACATTTTTTTCATAAAATTTGAAATGTTTTATGAATGCTGTCAAAATCATACAGTTTTGAAAAAACTGAAACAGTCTCTCTGTTTTTACAGAGGCAAGGTTGTTCATGTCTTGACCCTCCCCAGACCCCAACGTAGTTGAGTTTATATAGGGTTGGCTGTTATTGCTTTCACTTTTTAGAAACTGGAGCAAAAGCAATACATTCAAACACATTATGATATTTGAAAACGTTACAATTTCTGCTCCCAAAAAGTGAAAACGAGAAGAAAAAATGGAAACAGGAACATTTCCAAAAAAAACTAAACTTCTGTTTGTACAACAATTTTTTTAATTAATAATAACTAAATAAAGTAAATCATTTTAATTCTTAAATAATTAAATTGCTTGATGTTTTCAGTTCAAGGCTTCGCCTTCGAGGAGCAGGAGAGAGAAGTGTGGTTGTCTCACAAAATGAAGTAAGAGACATTGAAGACTTCCCCTATGGATGTGGGGACAAGGGTACCAAATGCTATACACAAACTCGTGCAACTGCCATTGAAATTCTACCACC